TTGCCATTCTCTCTGGGTCAGGCACAGAAAAGGTAGCTTGTTAGGCCTAGCGCCCATACCTTCAATGGCACTCTGGAGTCAGCTTGCCCGTATCCAGGGTCAACTCTTAAAGCTGAACTCTAAGGATTTATTTTTTAACCAAGTTGCCATAAGTACTTGACCACCATATTTCTAGAATGATAATCATATCTTTCTACGCACAGGAGCCTGTCTGTACATCCAGCAGCAATAAATTTGTCAGCCATTTGTCATTCCGCTGCTGGCTGTGTGTATGTGATGAGTGGAAGATGAGAAGTACTGTACTTTTCCATGTCTAAGATGAGGTTTCTTTACTCTAAAATAGTGTTAAAAACCAGAGCTCATCTTATACATGGAAAGTGCATAGGGGGACGGATGATTGGTTGCAGCCGCAAGCGATTTGGTGGGAGATTGGTGGCTGTGTCAAGGGCTGCTTTTGATTGGTTGCCGTTGCGGCAATTGGGCGTGTGATTGCTGGCCATTGTTGGCTTCTGCTACGCGAGCAATTGTCAGCATTTTTCATTTGGGTTAGTGATTTTCTGCATTCCCCTCCCCCAAAAAAGCTCAACAACTTTGGGCCAGCTACCTCCATTTATTTAAATTTGAGTTCCCAAAAATAGGGGGCATCTTATACATGGAGGCGTCTTATACACAGTACTTGTTTCTCTTTAGAAGGAATTTTCTTTAGGCAAAGCTCTGATGATGAATGTCAGAGTGGCAATGAGAAATGAACAATAAGATAATTGAGACATAATACATTCACCTTGCTTTAAATCAGCCTTTCTCAACCTGTTGGGTCCCCAGATGTTGTTGAACTACAACTCCCATCACCCCTAGCTAGCAAGGCCAGAGTTCAGGGATAATGGGAGTTGTAGTCCAACAACATCTGGAGACCCACAGGTTGAGAACCGCTGCTTTAAATGCTCCCCATTGGTTTAAGAAAGACTTTTGGAACGGATTAAGTTTGTCAACCAAGGCACACTGTACATGCATACCTATGCCAGATGTGCAGGCACACAGAACTCGCTACTCTTTTTCTGTTTCACACACACACACACACATTCACACACAATCTCAGATCAGAAATAAAAGAGCTCTTTGCCTGCTCCTTAGGTTTGCTGAATGCTGACCAAATATAGAAGTTAAGGAAGAATTCAGTTAGACTTTTTAAAATGACCTCTTGTGTGTGTGTTGAATTACAGAGGCTTCTTTTTAATTTTGTTCAGGAAATTGACCTTTCTCATTTTTACCCTTAATTATTTAATTTTTTTAAAAAGGAATGGGGTCACATTTTGATTTATGGCAGTGAACTGAACATGCCTTTGTCTGACTTGAATGAGCTACCGGTGTTACTGAATGCTCTAAGGGTCTCCAGTTGTGTTAAGGGAGTTTGTTTTAAAAAATAACATTTGGTACAATAGGTTTGTTTCACAGGTGGACAATAGATACTATTACCAGCGCGCAAAACAGTTTCTGTAAATAGAATTAATATCCTTTGGCGGGCTGCACAAGTGGATGTAATGCCAAGTAATTTCTTTAGGGATTTAAGACAGCAATATGCATCCATCTTAACGGTCTACACACAACAGCTTTCTGCACTCTTTAAAGTTGTATTAGACCTTTTTCTTCCTTCCTTCCTTTACCCCTGCCTGATTTCCTTCTTTGACTAACAGTCTGTGAAAAGTATGGATGTGGGTGTGATTTGCAAGAGTAATTCACAGTGGGGCAGAACTGCAGCAGCATTGCAATTTACCTGGATGGGTCAGGGAGGTAGTAAGCTTGGGACTTCATGAATGGACTCACAGAGCCATTCTGGCACTTTTGCTAGTGCATTGTTCAATTATTATAGTAGAGGAGTGAGCTTGAGAGGAGATTAATTGGCTAAATCTATGCTGTGAAACCTTCTTTGGTGATCACTCATAGCCTAGTAAGATGATCTTCCATAAACATGGTTTTAACCATGAGTCCGTAAGTGACTGTGGAGGCCAATTCTGGATCCACACGTCCTTTCACAGTGGGGACATTGGTTTCCAGGCAGGAGTTGATCACGGTGTGGATTTGCCAAGCGTGCCTTCCTCTTAGCACATTTCTCCCTTGCGTCCTGAGTTTGAGTGTCTTCAAAGCCCATGGCACCTTTGGTAAAGGCTGTTCTCCAGCTGGAGCGCTCGCAGGCCAGTGATTCCCAGTTGCTGGTGTTTATACTACATTTTTTTAGATTTGCCTTGAGACAGTCTTTGAACCTCTTTTGTTGACCACCAGCATTACGCTTTCCATTTTTAAGTTCAGAATAGAGTAGTTGCTTTGGAAGATGATCATCAGGCCTACTGAATCCACACCATTGTATCTGCAAGGCCTCAACAACATTGTATCTTCGTATCAAATGTAGGACAACAGATATATGAACTTTCCCCTCTAGTTTTGAATTTGGGAAAACTGGAAAGCAGAAACAAGATAGTTGCAATGGCAACTATTTGAATCACTGTAGAATGCAGCTAACGAATTTCAGATGAGGAAATGTTTGCACTTAATAGTAGACTTTGCATATGAGCATCAAAGCTATGGTAAATGTCAGCTCAATTAACTTGTTGATATTTTGGCAAGAGCCAAATCAGTGTGTGTAGTGCTTTATTTTCAGTGTGTTCCTTTTAGTTTTCAAGTCCCAATTTTCTTATCTAATTGAAAATGGCAATACTGAGAACATTAAACAGTCAAGTCAGCACTTTGCAATATTTATTGGCCACATTATGAGGGCAGATCTTTGCATGATCCAGGAGACATTTTCTGAACTGAGTTTTAGGATAAAGGAGGCAAATAGCTAGAATGTATACTAAATTCCTAAACTTCTCTTAAGAAGCCATCATGGGTTCTTTTTATGTGTAATTACAACTGTGTCTACTCTGTATGGAATGCTTGAGCAGAGGTTGCAAGCAATCTTAATGACTTCTAGGATGAAAAATGATAAAGTTTCGTAATCTGACCTGGCTACCTATGTGTATTGATTTTGCAAGTGCTTCGGTTCCATTAGGTGAATTGCTGCGGTGTTTGAAAACAGGTTGTAGCAAGTCATTGCCAAGAAACGATCATTCTCATGCACCTTCGTTAACTGCTGATATGGGGTGAAGAAAGATAACGGATATAAGATACTTTTTAGAAGGAGAAAGCTATTAAAGTGCATATCAAAGCATATCCAAAGTGGTTTTTCTTCTTCAAGCTGCTTTTTAAGTAGTGCATTGCCCTGAAGACATAGTCTACTGAACCCTGGACACCTCCGTTTTTCTCATACAAGTATGCATATAATGAGTTCCACCTACATGTAAACATTTGTGATGCCTGCATTTGACAAAAACGGCAAGCCATTCGCTATTACAGATGGCTTGTCAATAGCTTAACATCGTTTCTTAAAACCCTGTTCCTTTTACTTTGGGCAAAACAGGTTCATAATATAGCCTGCAGTAAAATGACTGTATTTTCAGGCCACTTTTTCTTTCTTACTATACCGGGTCGTTCAAAGATTGAGGAAGATGGGAGTGTGGTAGTCAGGAGTGCTCTTCCGTGCTTCCACCCACTGTTTAAAGTCCTATAATGTTCCAGAATGAGGCTGCAACATGATGTATTGTAGCTCTGGGGAGCATTCTGGAGTAAAATGCTGGTCATTGCTGGCAGCAGTGCCGGATTTATGTGTAAGCTAAACAAGTTATAGCTTAGGGCCCCACTCTCTTAGGAGTCCCAAAAAAATTTAAGGGGAAAAAACCTGGATGTACATTTCCAAAATATAAGATAAAAAAAAGAACCTACATACAGCAGCAGTGTTTTGTGTTGTGTAGGCTCCTATGATGTAAGTCATGGGGCCCGCCTGCTAGCCTGCTCCCTAAAATATCACTGATTTGCTCATTTCTATATATAGGGTGCCTACATTCTGCATGTGCAAATGGCTTTAGATACCTATTAGGTCCATAAATTACCATATAGCATATATTCAACACAAAAAAGCGACAATTTGTTGTTGACAAAGTAGAGCTGGACATATAAAGGGCCCCATTACCTTCAGTAGCTCAGGGCCTCAGCAAACCTAAATCCGGCCCTGGCTGGCAGCCACAGTTAAAATTGAGGCCACCAGCAGAGGACCCCATTTCTCCCCAGAAAACCCCTCGGAGTCATGCTACATGGTGATGTAGGATTCTTCCAGGCCACTATGGGTATTTATTTATTTTATTCAATAAATTTCTATACCACTCTCTATGTAGTGAACACATTAGAACAAAATACAAATTTGCAGAACCCCTTTCAATTCCATCAAAGCCCTTTTGCCTCCACATTTGATTCGTTTGAAAAATTCAGTAGCAACACTCACAGTTCAATCCTATGCATGTCTTCTCGGAAGTAAACCCCAACGTGTTTGGCAAGGCTTAATCCCGGATAACTGGGTATAAGATTTCAGCCTTGATACTTCAAAAATTAAGCATCAGAAAAAACTGACCTGAAGACGTTCCCTTTTTCTAATCCAAGTTTGTTATAATTATTACTGGAATAGACTGATGTTTTGGTTTAGTAATCCATAGTTTCAATCCCTACACCAATAGTGAGTAAAAGAACAAATCCTATTTAGGTCTTTTAAAATGTATTTTATTCCTTTAATTGTTGTCCATGTCATCCAGCTAACTTTGAGGGCCAACAGTATGATAGCACGTCTAATTTTTGTTTTTGTTTGGTTTCAATGTTCGGAGATCACAAATGCCATTTGCTTTAAACTGTTTTATAAACCTAAAAATATTGATCAGTGCAATCCTGTGCATGTCTACTCAGAAGCAAGGGTCTATGACTTCAGTGGGATTTACTTCCAGGTAACTGTGTATAGGATTGCACCCTAAATTAAAGGTTAGTGTAAGTAGTATTTTATTTAAGTGAATTTCTCTTTGATCATTACACCTTTGAGTTCCCTGCACTTTTTACTGGAAACTCATTTATTTGGCTACATTCATAATATTTAGAGCGTCAACTCATGAAATATCACCATGATTTTAGAAGATACACTTAATCTTCTAAAATCATGGTGATATTTCATGAATAGTTCTATTGCATTTATTAGAGAACTGTGGAATGGAGCCTTTTATATATAAATTCTGAATTAATTTGATATTTTGGGTAAATTAATTTGATATTTGGATGTGTATGGTTGGATCCAGATCCACCTTTCCACAAATGAAACTACTTCTGCTGGTGGAAGAAGCTCTGACTGACTACTGTCTCCTTGAGGAAGGAAGGGAGGCAATTTAACCAGTCAACTCTTTCTTACAACGCTTCAGAAGGTTGGTTTAAAAAACCCTTCTTCCCTTCTGTTAGACTGAAACCCTGCTCAAGGAATTGAACCCATAGAATTGTGAATTAACTTTATGCTGGCAATCTGCACGTTATATCAATTCATTTCAGTTGATGAGAAGTTTTCATGCCCAAGATATGCAAAGTGGTTCTGCTGGAGAGTAAAGAGGGTTTTTTTACAGATTACTCCACATGGGAGCATCATGTAACTGAAGCAGTATATAAACACACTGTTCCCTTTATGCAGGCCTCATCTTATGTTTTGTTTTCTTTGCAGAGGTTACTATATAGTAATTGTGCCTTTGATAAAGAAGTCTGATGGAAAATTCATGAAACCACGAGAGAGCCCAGACGAAATGGAATTAGACGAGGTACCTTGTGCTTATTTTAGCTCTTCTTTCCCTGTAAAATTGTTTGTGATAGAAGCAGCCTTAATGATTGTGTCCAATTAATGTACCCATGTCAGCAAATTTGACTTTAAAAAAAAAAAAAATCTTATCATTTTGTATTGGAGTTCGCCTCTGGGGACAGAAACAAAAAGCTAATTACTTAAATTAAAAGACATTAAGTTGCAATGAGGCACACACACTGTCTGATCTTTGTTGGCATTAATATTTTATTCTTTGCCGATTATAAGACGTAATGCAGTAGGTGAAATGAGTTGTCAGCAAAAACTTAATCACCATTGATATGAACTCCAATAAAGGTCTGGTTCGTTTAATGGGGTGTTTGCCGAAGCTGAATCACATGCTAAGTTGCAATTTGCTCTGCAGTTTAACATTTGACCTACCTCTCAGTTCTCTTTACTTGATTCTCCTGTGCTGGTATATGTCTGTCTCAGGCTCGTTTTCCTCTACGCTCCAAGATTAGGCACAATGAGAGAGACACCTTACATATTCACCGAATAGCACTGTAATAACTGGGCTGTTAATTAACATATATTTACCTGTCAGTTTCTATCTTGCTTGTGGGCAAATTACTCCATTAATTTCAAAACATCCCATTATTTTGACACATATGGCATTTTGAAATGATTGAATTTTTTATTTTTTATTTTTTTAAAAAAACCTTCTTCTCGTTCAGTGTATTAGTTAATAGAGAGATGAGTAAACTCTTTACTTGAAAATTGCAATCCTGTCTAAAGATGTGTGCGGAAGTACTTTATACAACACATCGTCCGACTCAAATTCAGGTGGGCACAACTGAATTTGGAAACCCCCAATTATTTTGGGAACAACCAATTATGATTCTTGGATTGCATTTTTACATGCTCTCAGACCTAAGATGAAAGGACATCTGTGCGAAAGGTAGACATCAACAACACTGAACTACTTGCAAAGTAACCTTGGATGACTTCCCTGTGATGAACTTGCATAGCATGCTTGAGTGTTCATATGAATTCAGCACATTCAGATGCAGGGAGTGTGGGTCAGAAAGTGGAAGGAAAGGTCTTCAACAGATACTGGCCCCTTTCTGTTAACAGTGGTACTTGTTAGTTTGGCATAGAGAGCTTAATCTGCCTAGTAGAGTTTGCATTATCAATGCTGAAGTTGCTGAGGACCAACCTACACATCCCTCTTAATGTATATAATATGTCGTTACATCTTCGGTTTTTCCTTAATTAATTAGGTGGAGAGTGGAGTGTTGTCTGGCCACAGCAGGCAGGGAAGCTGTATCCTCCCCAGCTGTGATCGAAGTGGAATTTAATCCTGTGCACAGCTAGAGGGCTTAGTAAAAGGTGAAAGATTTCTAAGATCTGAGGAGAAGCCATAGGTGTGGCACATAGCTATTAATGATAAATTAACATGTGCTATTAAGGTAAGACGGGACGCAGGTGGCACTGTGGGGTAAACCACAGAGCCTAAGACTTGTCAATCAGAAGGTCAACCTAGCATTTCAAAAGCACATCAAAGTGCAAGTAGATAAATAGGTACCGCTCCGGTGGGAAGGTAAACGGCGTTTCCGTGTGCTGCTCTGGTTTGCCAGAAGTGGCTTAGTCATGCTGGCCACATGACCTGGAAGCTGTATGCCAGCTCCCTCGGCCAATAAAGCGAGACGAGTGCCGCAACCCCAGAGTCGGTCACGACTGGACCTAATGGTCAGGCGTCCCTTTACCTTTACCTTTATTTAAGTAAGATGGAATATGCAGGAGAAATGATTTTGAGGAGATGTGGGAGGTATTTTTAGAATTTGTGCTGTTGAAATAGAAAGGGGTCAAACCATCACAAGAGGTGTTGAAATTTTGGGAGGTTGGATAGTTACAATGGAATGGCCTCGGGGATGGGGTGTACATTTTTGCATTTATTTATTTATTATTTTTACTTTGTCAAAATGAAAAATGCTATATACAACACTGGACAAGTCTCCTGTTGCAGGTTCGACTGCAAACTCTTTTTGGGGTCTTGATACCTCAGCAACATTCAAAGGAAGTCTCCACCTTCTAGACATCTGTAGGGTCGCAACATCGGTACCCACCCACACATTCATCAAAATTATAAAGGGGATACGGTGCTTAAAATTTAGTAGTCACAGAATTCCCTTCCTTACTCCAATGGGTGCTGTTTAAAGGGCTTTTACCTTGGCCCACTCTCAGGCTCTCCCTTCAGCAATTCAAGAAGGCCGCTATAGGAAGATTCCATACAAGGAGAGGCTCTGGGCAGCAGGAAACAACGGAACATGCCCTTCTTCATTGCCAGTATTATATAGACATTCGAGCCAGGTTTATCCAGACCATCCTATATAAATTCCCAGGGCATTCAGAACAACACAACATCTCCTTATTACTACAGGATGAAAGCCCAGTCTGTGAAATGCTCTCCCCAGGGAAGTTCGCCTGGCGCCTTCACTATACAACTTTAGGCGCCAGGCAAAAACGTTCCATTTCAACCAGGCCTTTGCCTGCCTTGATTTTCTGTACATCCTATACCCTTTTTAAAATGCTGGCTCTTTGGGAGTTTTTTTAATTGGATTGTTGGTTTTTTTGGATTTTATGCATTTGATATTTTATGTGAACCACCCTGAGACCTTCAGGTATATGGCGATATAGAAATTAAATAAATAAAAATAATAATTAATGAATTCCTACTCAGTTATCTGAAAATTCATTATCATGTGTGAGGTATTCCTGTTCTGTGTTATAATACAGTATCTTCTTGTGTCCCTGTCCTTGTGGCATCATTTTTTTTGTATCGAGCATGGTTTATGGACTTCGCTCATATGAGGGATTGAGGGGTTTCCTTAGTGCTGTCAGTATTATCTGTACAGTGGCATGGCCCCTCTCTGTGGAAGAGGAGGCAATATTCTTCAAAGCCTATACCTTGCCTATATACTCCCCCAGCGGGAGGAACCATCCTGTTAACTGATTGTCCTCCGGTCTACTTTTCAAATAGAAACTCATTGTCGTTTAGTCATGTCCAACTCTTCGTGACCCCATGGACCAGAGCACGCCAGGCACTCCTGTCTTCTACTGCCTCCCACAGTTTGGTCAAACTCATGTTAGTTGCTTCGAGAACACTGTCCAACCATCTTGTCCTCTGCCATCCCCTTCTCCTTGTGCCCTCCATCTTTCCCAACATCAGGGTCTTTTCCAGGGAGTCTTCTCTTCTCATGAGGTGGCCAAAGTCTTGGAGCCTCAGCTTCAGGATCTGTCCTTCCAGTGAGCACTTAGGGCTGATTCATAGTAACACCAATTTCCATTTTCTTCACAAACAACAACAACAAAACCCTAAGGAGCTTACTCTCTTTGAATTGCCCTAACAAAAATATAGTCCAGTCTCATTTCAGGCACAATGTCTACACAGATTTCCTCAGGACTTAATAGAACCCATTGGTCATTGTTATGAAGAATGGGAGGTCTCTGTATTTCTCTTGCCATTAGCCAACTCCATGACTTTCGGCTGTGTTTTGCTTGTACTAACAACATTCAGTATGTGCAGACTGCTTGCTTTAATGTGGTTTCTTCTTTTTAATGACCTGGAGTTGTCTAGAGAGGCAAAAAGCAGCTAAACTCAGTTTTAGTTGCCATCAAACACAGCGGAACAATTAAAAATTCAACAGTCCAGTAACGGGACCCAGACCAATTTTAACTTGCAAAACTACACAGTTCATTTCAGCAAAATTAACAGATTCCAGTCTGAATTCTGTAGTTGACATTGACCTTTCTCGCCATTAAGTTCTTTGGGTCTGTGCTGCTGCTGCTGCTGCCGCTTTCCATAACAAAGGGTCATTTTAATCATCGTGCAAGTTGTGGTGCATTAATCTGTATAATAGTTTGATAAAGGACATTTATTAAATTCAGAAACATTTGGGGCAGGATGGGTTCTTTTCCATTTTTTACAGATACAATTGAGACCACATTGTAGAATTAATGGTGGAAGAAATAAGATATGCATTGACTGGAAAATGAAAATTGTTTCTGATCGAGAGCTGAAGCCCTTCATATATCTTTCAGAATTGCTTCCAATAGTAACTCACGAGGGGACGGAAAACATCTCCAAAGTGAGCTACTCTTCATGCAGCGACTCTGAAGGTTCTGATACTTTAGATTTTTTAAAGCTTCTAAGAGAACTCCCTGTTTTAAGTTGTGCACGTTAATACTGTGCTCATGGAATGCCTATACAAATATTATCAATGCAGGTGTTCCAGCTTTGCAGCGGTGATACATTTATCCATAACAATGAAGTATCACGAAACACAGTGACTTCAGGGTTGTCTCTGTGGCAGAATTAGCCTTAGATTAGATTTTGCCCTTAAAGCTAAACTCCTT